AAACAAAGTTAGGGTAAATTAATCACCCTGGCCGGTTAGGGTGCCCTTACAATGTAAGGATTCATAAGTGGTGTGGAACGAGGCCCTTAGCATGGCCTCCAGTCCAATATCGAGACACCTGTAGGGAGAGGGGCGATGACGACCCATCTTCGTCAAGTAACCCCCATATCATTCCTCCTGTCCCTCATTTGGTCGATCATGTTACCCATTATGTCCATGTGAAAGACCATTGTTGTTATCGATGGTGTATTTCAATTTTCAACTCACACAGCACACAGCAGACAGCACCTTCTTCGCTGCTCATCAGGCATGCATCACTCGTGCCCACCCTTTCCAACTCCTCGCATAGTCCTTACTCTGTCCGACTCAGTTCAACCCTTCGACCTACTTGAGTTCTCGCTATGGTCCCCACTCTCTAAACAGACTTGACTCAGACTCATCCCGTACATGGCAATAGACTAAACGCTAAACTCAAGTGATAGACGGCAGGTCATCACAGGGAGATCATCTTCAGCCTGTTTTGATTTTTTTCCCTTCCTTCCTCCCTTTCCTTTTTTTCTTTTTTTAAATGCTTTCCCTTTTCCTTTTTCTTTTCTAAGGGAAAAAGGGCGATGGCCTTGAGATATCAGGCCAGGCCGCCACCGGTGGCCCCGACCCTGCAGCACCCTAAACCACTAGGACAAGGGGCAAACATGCAAGTACCTCCCTCCACCCCTTTCACCGAGGAGAGGTAGATAGCTATGCTTGCAGGGTTCCCCTGTATAGCCTTAGGATTAGTGGTAGGTAGGTATTGAAAGATGAAACACCGTCTGGAAATGCGCATTGTGGAATAAGGTTGCGGGTTCAAAACTCAATTGCAGCCTTACGCATGGACACCATGACGCACGGTAAGCTTATACAGACACTGCCTGCGCACCACCCAAGGGGTTGTCCATGGTGTTGTATGTCGGGTCTTGATACTGCGTGGGTTGCTTGTGGCTGTTGCTCGTCGTTGTTCTGTTGATCTTCCCAGTCTGGCATATCACACACAGGGGCAGTTTGGGATTGTTGCTCAAATGGTAGAGTCTTCCCGTCACATGTCATAGATCACGGGTTCAAGTCTGGCTAGGGACTTTGGGGGGGGTTCTTGTTCAGCTTGGCCTGTCATCTCTTCAAACGAACACATAGTTCC